TTGGCGCGCGGGGCTCCCCCCCTTTACCTCGGGGCTTGGCGCGTGGGGCTCCCCCCTTTACCTCGGGGCTTGGCGCGCGGGGGTCCCTCTCGGGGCCGCCTTTACCTCAGGGCTGGCGCGGGGCGGCGGGGAGCCGCCGAGCAGCCGCGGGACGGCGGCGATCTCTCCCTCCTCAGCCCTGCTCTGGAGCCGCCTGGGAGGCAGCAAGGGAAAAGGGAGACCCCTTCCTTCCCGCAATCGCCCCCAGCCCCATCGCTCGCGGGGCTCGTCGGCGCCAGTCCCTCAGGCGGCAGCCCTCCCTTACCTGCGGGTGAGACCGGCGCGCCTTCGCTGAGCTCCCCGGAGTCCGAGTCCATGCTGCAGGTATCGGCGGGGCAAGAGGCAGTGAGGGGCGGCTCGGGGCGGGAGGAGTGCCCGGGGAGCGGGAGCCGGGAGCGAGCGGCGAGCAGAGGCTGCTGCCTCCTCCTCTCCTCCCAGCCCGGGCGCTGGGTCGGCGCCACCACATGCAGCCACCTCGCTTAGTGCCATTGGCTGCAAAGGAGGAGCGGAGACGGGCGGGCTCCGGGCGAGGGGCGGAGGGAGCGGGGGCGCGGCGGAGGAGCGGGCTCTTCCCTGAGCCTGTTACACAAGTTGGCCTGGCAGCCGGCTGCCTCTCCCCGCCGCGGCCTCCGGGGGGTCGTTGGGGCGGGGGGTCGTAGGCGCTGCCGGGCGGTGGTGGGGTGAGGGCCGGGGGCCGCGGCCTCCCCGCTCCGCCGGGTGCGCCAGGCCGCTCCTGAGGGAGAACTTAAGGGGACGAAAAGGAGCGAAATGACAGTCCTTTTACACTGGTTGCCGTCGTGTCTCCTGTTTACTTTGTCTTTTCAGCCTTCTCTTCTCCTGTGGACATCTCCCCGTTCGCTTTTCACTAGCTCTCTCCCCTTAATGATCATTCTCCTCAAAAATTAGCCATTAGAACTGTGGGGGCCAACGGGGAAGTGTCAGTTCTTACTGGCTATTAGTGCCCAGAAGAATATTGGAGTGAGTTTTGCTGCTACCTGTTTGCACGTTGTTTGCAGGCTCAGGGAGACAGTGCAATATTTGCTAAATGAAGGCTGTGTCAGAAGACTGTTTTGAACTCTGTCTGAGAACTTTATAGCTTGAATTCTGCAGACTTTGCCTGTGCTCTGCAGGCTGCTACAATCCTGACCCAGCCCTTAATTCAGACGATTGAGGCTGCTTGTTCAGCTCAGGTGAAGTTAGGTCAATCTTTATTTCCCTTTGCTTTTACTTTTTCTACTTCTTCTTGCTGTTACAGGCCAAAGATCACTTTAATTCTAGCACAAAAAAATCCCAGGGAAGTAGTAGCAAGAATACTTTTCTAACTGGGAACAAAATGTCATCATAGACCTTGTATATCTGTGTGATCTGTTGATGTGTCACAGCTGAAGAGTTAGCCGGTGCCTTGAACGCTTACCTGCGGATTGCTGCAATCTCCAGCGAGGCGTTTGTGTCTGTAGCTGTCAGACACAGATATCTCTTTCTTTGTTCAGTATCTCTCTTCCTTCCCAAACCATGCAGAACCTCATATTGCTGGAGAAAGGCGTACCTGGGCACTGCTTTGAAGCTGCATATATGAAATTATCCATTGTCATCAGACTATCCTAAACACCCTTGACAAATATGAAGGCCTTCTCTGTTACTGTGTAGTGACATTAAAAAAAAAAAAGGACAAAGAAAAAAGGTTTCTTTCTAAATCCAAAGGTCCTTGTCAGATTCTTTTCAGTGATGGCTTATCCTTTGTAATGCTGAGAACTACAACAGTGAAAATGAAGCTACAGTTTGCCTTATGTTCTCGGGTGAATCCTAGCATGCTCCCCTGCCTTCAAATCAGGTTGAGCCTGAAGAGATAGGAGACCTCAGACTTTCTGGCCCTGGAATACACATGTTTGTATGTTGAATTTAGATGCAAAGTTCTTCAACCTCTGGAGTGAAAAGTTAAGTGTTAAGTAATTTGTTGTGTTGCAGTCATACCCTGGACCTGTAGTCTTTAGATACTTTTGTGTGTCTTAAAAAGTTCTGACTTTTGTTTGTGATTATTTTCATTAAATTTGAAATGACATTCCAAATAGTGCTGATTATAATCCCATGAATTAGAATCATATAAGGAAAAACATTTACATTTAAGTGATTTTTAGGATTCTATTGTGAGAGGCCAATGCAAAATCTGAATGCAGAAGATGGGGGCAACTTACAAGCATGATATAAACTACATAGCAACAGAAAAATGCTATTAAGTCACAAAAGATAATCCAAGATACCACACCAACACCACAATCTGAGAGCCGGAAGGAGTTTAGTGTTCTCTCTGTCTCTCTTTTGTTGTTGTTTGCTTTTTACCAGCATAAATGCAACCTAAAAAACTCTCCAGTAAGAATGTAACAGTTCAATAGGAAGAGTAAGTTTGTATTTGAGTGCAATTAATTCATTTTCTGGACTGTCTTTAATTGCTTGAAACACTAATGGTAATTTCTAACCAGAACAAATTCTGTCTTTCTAATGACAGTGACTATAATTAGGTAAGCAAAAATCAAAGTGTTTTTTGCAGAGACACCTGTAAAGTGGACCCCTTCCTGCTCCCCCACCAGCAAAGGGGGCTGCCGGGTACAGTGTATTCTGGGACATGTAGTGAGGTGATACGAGGCAGCTGCGTATGCGCTTCCAACGTATTCTAGGCACTGGCCTTACCCTATTTTCTGTGGGGGCTTTTTTTTTTCCCGAGTGCATAACTGCTGCCATAATTGCAATTAAATGTTAAACTCTTTGCCAGTGATCATAGTTCAGTTGGTAAAAGGACAGATTAGTTTTCATGAAAGACAGAAGTCTTGGCACAGAATAGTTAAAATGAAAACTGAATCCCACTTATTTTAATTCTTGTCAGTTTTGTTTATCCTTCTATAACCATAATAATAAATGTTATGATGAAAATGGTGTAAGTAAATCAATATTGTATTGCATCAGACTTGTGATATATACACTGGGCATTCTCATTACTATGCTGTAATTACTTTCTATTCCACAGTAAATTCTGTTTCAAGATTACTTTTCTTCTTTATTGCTGCTAACTGTAAAGCAGTTATTAACGTTTTCAGCTGTAACAGAATGAGCATATTGTTTCATTTCAAAACATATGGTTAGAATTCAGTTTTTTTCCTCCTTAATGGTCTCTGCCCAGCAGAGTCCAGCACTTAGTTTAGCATGTGACCTGGAAAATTCCATATGCTTAGAGTTCTGAACTTCATAGTTTCCACTCGTTACAATACTGGTGCAGAGAAAAACACAAAAGGTTTATTAATAGCAATATATGTACTAGCTGAATGCATATTAAATGAAACTCCACATGAAGACAGTTGACATTTCATGACCTATTTATTTTTTGCACTTAGTACAAATAGTGTAATTACGTATTCGTTGTTACAAGCTAAAGCTCTGTGACTGTTTCCTTTATTGCTAGGGTAGATCTAAGGATTGTCAGGATATTTAGAAACTGGAACATTTCTTCTTAAGACTTAGTTAATACATTTGCCTGCAAATCTCTACAAATATGACTTAGCAGGGGGAGCTGGTAACACAGCCAACTGAAACTGCCCCATGTGTTGCGTGTATTCCCAGTTACATGATGCCGTCTGTAGCAACTACATCGCTGTATGGCTCCTCCATTCACATTTCAGCTGCATCTGGTCTTGATCTTTATTCCATATGGAACTTATCTGAAATCCTTCTCTGTCTACTCATTGTATCTGAGTGCTGAAGATCTGCCTGTAAGAGTTTTTAGGATTCATGGTTTTTCACTGTTCTCTCTGCAAATGATACTTGTGTGCGCACACAAATACAATTTTATCGTATTCAAAGTACTTAAGTAGCACAGCTACCATAGCGTCTATGTCTGGGATATTTATCTTTACAAGGTTATTGTGAAATAAGGGTAATAGTGTATCTCCCTTCCAGAGAGAGGGAAATGAGGTACTGAGAAGCTGCGATTTAGAGTCGTGTGAAGTATGGACTTTCACCTGTATCTCTTGGGCCGTACCTGAACTGTTAGGTTACCCATTTCTGCTAAATAAAAAATTGGCAAGTTGCCTGTTCTTTGCTACTCTAGCTTTCCTCCTTCAAACTGAGCCTTCAAACCTAGCCCAGGAAGCAGTCTCTTTTTTCTCGTCATTATTAAATCTAGCAGAACCCCCTCTGTGCTACCATCTCTGTGTCTGACTTTTATGTTCTAGAGTGTAAAGGCACGCGAGTAGGATTACGTCATCTTTTTGGTTCTAAATGTAAAAGTGTATATTTCTCACAAATAATTTTTAAACAGTATTTAAATAAAGTCTGCCCTAGGATCTACTATTTCTGATGTTGTTGCCTAATATTTTGCTTCACGATTTATAATATCATATCTTTCATATCCAAATGCCACTGCTACTGAATGTATTAAACAGAAGCATCTCCTATGGGCTGACATAGTCATGAAGCATACTGTAGTAGATTTTAGATATATTTTTTTTTCCAATTTCTTTGTGGTGTCACATTTCTTCATGAAATATATATATCCATACACTAAAAAAAAAAAAGCAAGCCTGACTAACCAGTATCAATGATCAATAGATTCTCTGACAACAACTTTGTCATGCCAGGGACTTACTGAAGTCTGGAAGCTAGTCAGCATATATATACATTTTGCGTGCATTTTTAATAGATTTTAGTTGTAATAATGCATCTATTGGTGGTCTACAAAAACTCTTCATAGTTGATTTAGAATTCAAATAATGAACAAGATGTCTGTATTACTTAAATTCTTACTCATGTGCCTGTAGATATTCAAAGATCTAGATTTTCTAGGCAGTGAATGTGTTGAAACATAGTGTTTCAATGTGTTTCAACATAGTGTTGAAAGAATAAACATGGAAGAATGCAGTATTTTCTGCCCTGTTCATCCCTCCCCTCCCTCTCCACCCGCCTCCCCCCCCGGCTTTTTATTTATTTTAAAATTACTGTTAAGAGATGTAGAGTATCAGTTCTGAATACCTACCATAGTATGGGTGTATTTTTAGCCATTGGAATTGCTGAATTGTGTTCTGCTTTTGGTGTTGTCTTTTCTTGAAGAAGAGCTGAGGAAGCGGTTACTGGCTGAGACTGCAGCCTGGTACTGGTGCTAACCTCTGCTGTGATGTTTTTGGAATATCAGATTTAAAGCTAGGACTGAGATTTAGCTTCAGTCACTTTAAGAGCCTTGTAAGGTGGTTTTATGAGATTTTAATAGAAATTAAATGAAGTAGAATAGAAAAATATTGTACTCTTGTGCAACTTCTGTTGTGCGGAACTGCATTACTCTTGGTAGGCTATCAGAAAGGATAATCTTGTCAAAAATTGATATTTTCACCTGCTTGAATAGGCTGGGACTGTGGTTTGACTAGCACAGGAAAAGTTTAATAATGGTAGGTAATTGGTCTGATCCAAATTGAGTGCTCATGCTAAGAAAGGAAGACAAGGC